AACTACCCAATTTTCAACTAATACTAAGAGTACTAAGAACTAGTATAATTCTTCAGTCGAACGCACCATACATATACTGGTTTCGGACGTACCAGTCCTCATCAGTATACTACAAGCGCGACAACCTATGAATAATTAAGCTATTTTTGATGTCTTAATTGCAGACAAGGATTTAATATATGTGAGACAGAAGCATTACATCTATGAATGGTCATTGTTACTCAATACCTAGACCTTCAATATGATTACACTAGAGAGCGACCTGCAATTTTAGGCAATTATTTATCTAATTAAAGATAAAATGTCACTGAATTCGGTGATACATACTGGTACCAGTGGCGGAGATACCGAGAGTGTCTCCTACTGAAAACTTCAGAAATTTGACGCCACTGTATATTTTGAAAATTAGATTGTATCTTTTTGTGATGTTTCCAAGAAAAAAGGTCATTAACGTTACCATTGTTACCAAACACTTCATAAAATATAAGTATAATTTCTCTTAAATTATTTTTTTTAAAACAAATAAAACTTTAAATACTACCTAATGATGACAAGTTCAGAAACCCAGCAAAGGACCTATATACTTTGGATAAAGACGAAATATTTTTCAGATTACTACCTAATAAAACATTCTTTTATGAGTAAACCATGAGAACAAGTTTTACCAAAATTGTTTATATCGAATCATTCACAAAATTTTGACAGTTATACTTGTTTGAATTTTTATTCTTTAAATTTCTGCAATGGATTTTTTGACGAAGAATGTCCTCAATTAAACAGTGTAATTTTCATTTGAGAAACCATTTTATTGCGTGAGTTGACAACTGACAGCAGAAAAGGTTCCCAAATTACTTTTAGGACTATCTGTTCCTACGTTGTAGATAAGAGGAACAGATTGCTGTCGTCCACACACCCATGAGAATATTGGGGATTTAAAAAAGATAAATTGCGAATTTTCTCAACGTGCGTGAATGGCGAATGGAATATCAACAGTATGGTATTGATTTTTTAAAAATAGATTGTCCAGTTCTGTTGTGTTGTAACGTATTTTTCCATTCATTTTTGCAAGGGTTTTACGACGGCCATAGTTCATTTAATCTACAATGTCGTTTGTAATTAATTGTGACAGAGATTGATTATGATATGGACATGGAGTAATTTGGGAATTATTTAGTCTAGGGACAATTTTTAGAAAGTAATGAATATTATTCTTGGTAAAATTTTTGCATAAAAATGTGTTGATGCGCTCAACTAGCTCTTGAAAGTATAGTTTTTTCGCTTAATAATAATTATTATATGTTATTTAACCTAAGAAACACAAAATAAAAAAGTGGGATATATCCATACATTTATTTACACCTTGTGTAAATAAATAAGAACAAAAAAAATCTTAATATTGCTACCATTATTTTGGAGCTTTTCTTGTTGCATCATTATGTCTCATAATCTTGCAAATGGTAACTTTTTAGAAACATCTGGAATTTACGCTGAATTATATCCTGTGAGATTTTACACTTTATCAAACCTTGTTTGCATGCCTGGAACATTTAAAATAAGAACTGTGATTTTGGTCGCTAGCGCCACCAAAACGGTACTAGAATAATTACTTTGTATAAGCCATCGTAAAAAAACATTTTTTATCATTGGGTTCTGGAAAAGATTGGACAAAATCCTAAGTTCTTGATACAGATCTTGTTTTTAGATCTAGACAATTTTTCAAGTGTATCGACGACATTAATAATAATCATAAATGGGCAGAAGAAAATCCATACTCCTTAGCCGTTTATCTCTAAATATGGGAATTAAAATTCTTAAAGACCAAGCAATTGGCCCATAATTTCTGTCACTAGGATTGACTCATTTACTTTCTGGAAGAAGCATTTCCAGTAGGTACTAGTACTTTGGTATATGAAAATTGAGAAACCCATATTGTTTATTTTTTTCTCAATTGAGATAAATCATGATATTTAAATTAGATTTTTAGATGCGATAGAACAAAAGTTATGCAAAAATTGCTTATGGGGGTAGTTAGTTCTACCCCCTGTAACCGAAGGAGATCATGAGATTGTCCAGTAAACGCCATTATGATAGTAAAAAAGTTGTAAGTAGTTCTGTATTTGCAACTTTCTCTTTTTCACCCCGTTTGAAAGGACATAAATCCACAGGGAACGAGCGAAGAAAATTTTTCACATGAAAGACCCCTCTTAACTTTTAACAAAGAATTATGTCATATCGAATGAGGAGTTTCTTAATTTAAAACTAGCATCTATCTCCATTCATCTACACATTATTGTATAGTTGGGCTGTTACAAAGGTTTTGAAATCCTACAAGGAATGTTCAAAACTTGTTTAGGACTGTCTGCAAATGTGACTCTCAGACAGAGCTGAGTGGCAGATATCTTTATTGTGCCACTAGGCATTAGGCACGTTCGGAGAAAATGGGTTTGAAGCTTTGCAAAATGTTGGTCCCTAAATAAAAAGGTAGACTTATGGAAAAAGCAAATAAAATGCCTTTAAAAAAAGACGGGTAAAAATTCACTCAAAGAATGCAATAATATTGTCGAAAGAAACGTTTCTGTCAATACTTAGTACGTAATTAATAATAAAAAAGTATGTATACAGTGTGTCCACATGTGTGCAAGACATTTTAATTTTCTATTTTACGGAAATTCATTTTCATATAAAAAAAACTGTTGGTTTTTGAAATAACGTTTCAATAGAGAATTTTAAGACTATACAGAAAATACAGGAAAATAATAAATTATCGCTTTTAACGACATGAACGAAAATTTAGAATTAAGAATTATTATGGCAGAATTTCAACTTGTAGATAAATCGACGTAGGTACTTCGAAAATTAGTTTTAAGAAAATTGTTGAAATAAAAAAATGGCCTATGTGGAGCAATGATAATTATTATTATTGTTTTGACTTATTATTCCTCAGTATAACATATGGGAATCTGAAATAAAAAAAAAGTTGTTGGATAGTGATCTTTCGTTTTCATCATTCAATTAATTTTAGCCTATTTTCTATTTAAATACAATCTAAATGAGCCAATTTATCCACAAATTGAAATTCTGATATAGTTTAGGTCTAAGCAGTTCTTTGTATTTAGGTAAATTTTACAACTTTGTTTACTTGTTATTAACAATGAAGGACATTATGAAGGACATTATCGTATAACCCTACGGTTCCTGTAATTTGTAATAAAGTGATTTAAAGTTTTGGACCTAAAAACAGGTAACTCGGGATTTCCGATAATATTCATGGTACCTAGCGTACCTCTACCCACTATAAATAGCCATGTAGCAGGCCTTTGGTCAGTGAGGAATAAATGATCATGTTAAGCACTTCAATCAGTCTAAGCATACAGTCTACAAAGTAAATAAACTAGTGCAAGCAATAAGAAGTTCATCATTCCAATCCCAAACACCATGTTTTTAATTCTAAATATTCTTTACTATCACTTTTTTGTGGCTTTAAATTTTTATCAATTTTTTCATTTTCCAGACACAGTCCAGACGTATCTATTAATTTTCTATAGCAACATTGTTGGAAAACAAACAAAATTTATTGAAAAATAAAAAGTTTTCCTTCCCATCCTATCAATAGTTTCAATCTTATCATAGGTATGGTATTTAAAGACTTTTATAACCCAAACCATGCTAGGTTGAGACAAATCATGCCACAAAAATTGAATAACAGTTACTTGCCCTACCCTAATCTTCACCACCTTTTCTGTTATAGATTTTGCTTAGAGAGTAAATATTGCAATTATAAAAAAAGAAATAAATAAGTATCGTTACAAATAAATAAGTACTGTTGGATCCTGACGACATAGTTTATAAAAATATTTCCAAATTGTACCAGCTATATTAAACGGGTTCTAGATGATGCGGTCACTTGCCAAATATTTGTCAAACGTAAAAAACACCGTATTGTGTTGATGCTGCATATTGATCCATTCCAAAACATTTCTTCACTTGCCAGTTATTCGCCATAGCTATTCAAAAATTCGTAATTTCTCTACATTTACAAAAAATTGCAAGTATAACATTAATAAATATATGAAGCGACATTTGTTATGTGTTAGCTTTGTTTTTGTGTGGTTTCTAGACATCCATCAAGAAGCCCATTGTTCAGTCAGCGCTCGGCATTGACGCGGTGTATATGTGTCCCAACCTTAATTTTTGAGGATAATAGAAACAACATTTTCTGACCAGCATAAGCATTGTTATAAAATTGTCCCGATCTCCCCTATTTGAATCAGTTGCATTCCAAACACGCCAATTAACTACACCATAATTAAAAAACGATGTAACTTTCATTACCATCGGTTTTTATTTTAAATTATAATTAGACCATTATCCAAAAGAACGTAACAGAGTGATTTTAAACATTAGATTACCTGTAATTTAAAATTATTACTTAACAGAGGAAAATCATCGAGCAAGGACTCGTGTTTTTATAATGTTTAATAATTTCGCAACGCAAACGAGCGGTGTTTGAAAATTTATTTTGTTTTATTTGCCGACAAATTGTGTCTAAACCCGATATCAAAACGTAAGTTCGGGTAAATTATTCTTGTTTGATTTCCCAGTTATTGTGTGCGCGGTGCAAACAATGTCTTGATCAGGAAACGGATGGTTTAATTTTGCCGTAAAAATACAGCGCATAGTTGTTGCAGTGTTAGTTTAGTTCCATGTGAGTATACCGTAGCTGTAGGAGATAATGTCACTGTTAGAAATACTACCATTATAGCAGCAACTTATTAGGTTAGTTCGTATGATACAAAAACCATCAAGGTGTGTTGCAAAAATTGTTTATCTATGCTCTATTTGAACAAATTTAATACTGGCAGTGCTCTTGCTATGTATTTACACTATTTTGTAAACAATATGTTATCAACATTTTTCAACGAAGAAAGGAAAATTTTTGAGAGTGAAGTACTTACTGATAACCTGCGACCACATAAACAAAGATGTTTTCGGTGAATTTGCTGTGTAAAAAGTGTAAATACGAATAGAATTATAGACATGTGCAGTGAAAATTTTCATGTTAATGTGAAAGAATGCAATTCTGTATACTCTAACAATTAGCGCGGGGATTAACAACGTTTGACGATGACTGGTGAGACGATTTATAAAATTCATTTTCAAGAAGCTGCATGTATCGTTTTAAAATAGTATCAGGGTCACTACAAGTATATACATCTTTTATTACATTGAAAAGAAATTCGTGTAGTAAACAGGCAAATCAATTTTAGTTCTTGAAAAAGATATTTTTACATATGTCGAAAAATATATAAAAACAAAAAATAACGAAAATGTACATTTGTAGTACGTCGTACTTAACAACAAAAAAGTATATAATAATTGCGATAATTTGTACGTTTTCGGTTTTTTTTGTTTGTACTTTAAAGACAGTTGATTTAGTAATTTATATTATATAATAAGATCATATAAATCGACACTAATTTTAAAATATTCAATTAGGGAAAAAATTAAAGGTCAATTTTGATACTTCCAATGTTGGATCCAATTTAAAATAGATAAATTTTTCTTGTTTTATCCTGCACGTAACATGTTACTAATATGGTTGTCATTTCAAAAAGAAATATTTCTCTTTATAAATTTACACGAAGCTAGTTATTTGTTTATTTTTTTTTTGTTAAAAACCCTAATACCATTAAAGTCCAATTAAATAAGCCTTTAAATCAAAATTTTGGTCAACTTGCCTAAATTTTTAATATGAGTTAGTATGATGTATATTATAACAATAAATGACTATTGAATGAATAATTTTTTGTTCAACCCCCGGCCAAGGGTGTAAAAAGATAAAACAAAGGGGTTTTTCAAGATATCTCAAAAGGGGTAAGGGCTAGAAAAACAAGTTTCGTATAAAAGTTGTAAAGCAAGCAATTCTACATAAAAATGGCATCTTGACTTTTTCTTGTACTATTAAAATTAACAGAGTTAGGGAGGCTAGAAGTTAAGGGAAGATTTCAGAAATTTAAAAGAATCATAACAAGCAGAAAATGAATGAATTTTGCTATTTTTTTTTCAATCTACTCGAAAAAAATTATTTTCAGCGAAATAAATATATCTTTTAATTTTTAATAAGAAAGTTGTAACAATTTCAAATTTTTAATCGTTAATTTTAATGATTTAACAAAACTAAAATAATTTTTTTCTATATTATTCGATTGATTATTTGAAATAATGAAAAGTTGCGTTCGACATTTTTTTACGTTTGTTTTTTAGACAGATACAAATTTATTTACCTTTATATCTTTTAGCTCTTTTGACACTGCCAGGACAAAGATAAAAAATCACGTTCGCTTTGTCGCACTCATGGTACCGAAGTCGTGGACAACTCGTATGCCTATGACAGAGATAGATTATTTCGTTCATTATTGTCAATACGCGTGCGTCAGTAAACGTGTGTTTCTTTAAATTATTGTATGCTCAATATCCATTGTTAATCTCAAAAAGGTAAATATTAATAAGGTCTAATAATTTTTGTTGATTAAATTTTGTAAAAGCTCGATATTTTTACCCATTCTTGTCAATGTAAAACATGTGGAAATTTATTTATTAATACTTGTAAACTTGTAGTCTGAATGATATTAATAATAACATAGTGATAACAATAACATAAATATATATCATATAATTTCCTGTCCAAAACATTAAGAGAACAAGAAATTTTCTTACAAGGAAACTACCTCATCCCGAACACTCCGATTTTCAAGATTTTTATATATGTTGTAGAACATAAAAAATTAAGACACGTATCTTTATTTTACTTATTGCGAAAAACAAATATTTCGCAAGTGATTCCGTGTTTGGGGGTTGCTACCCTTATTCTTTATTTCAGAAAAACTATATTTTTTACTTATAAAAAAATTATATTTACTCAAAAAGAATTAAAAATATATGATTTATGTAAACAAATTGACAAAATTGAATTGACCTGTTTCGGGGTTTTCATTATATAAAATCTCTGTTTAGGGGGAGAACAACAAATTTGAAATTGTTATAACTTTCTTATTAAAAATTTAAAAATATATCTATTTCTCTGAAAAGAAAGGTTTCATTTTTTAGTGTAGATTGAAAAAAAAAATTACAAAATTCATACATTTTTCTGCTTGTTATGATTTTTTAAATTTCTGAAATCTTCCCTTAACTTCTAGCCTCCCTAACTCTGTTAATTTAAAAAAAAAACAAGAAAAAGTCAAGAGGCTACGAAACTTTTTTCTCTAGCCCTTACCCCTTTTGAGTTATCTTAAAAAACTCCTTTGTTTTATCTTTTTTCACCCTTGGCCGGGGGTTGTACAAAAAATTACTGTCACTTATTATTATAATATACCTCAAACTAACTCATATTAAAAATTCGGGCCAGTTGAACAAAATTTCGATTTAAAGGCTTATTTAATTGGACTATAGGTTGTGTTTTTTGGTAGATATTACCTAAATACAGTTAATTATAAAAACTATGGCTAATCAAATCAGGATGCAGTAACGAAACAAGCAAAACTGCATGCAGGATGTAAATTATTTCTCAATAGCATTACCTCAAGATCAGATTAAGATTCCTTTGTTGTCATGGAGCAACAATAGTTGCTTTGCGAAAACGGAATAATACTAATTAACAACCACGAAGTTCACATTTTCTGTTACCGTTCACCGTTTTTTAACACAAATTTGGCTGCATGAAAACGACAAAAAATATATCTTGAAAGTTAGCTTCACTAATGTTACTCTTGTTGTGACATTTGCCTAGACTTTCCAAAGAGAATAGTCTGGATGTTTTAAAAATAGCATTTAATTATATAAAATTTATAATAAGGCAAATGAAACTTTAAGTAGGTACCTACTTAATAATGATAAACTTAATATAGTACTAATAACTGGTGCCAACCAAGGTTTGGGACTGACCATAGAAGTGATAAAAATTTGGTAGGATCCTTTGGAAGGATTAAAACCCTTCCAAAGGTGACCAGTATTGAGATAACTGCATATTCAATATAGAACTTATACCTGCGATTACTGAAAATCTAAGCGATGAAATTTTTTTTAATCTTCAAATTTAGTTTCAGCACATCAAAATCTATAAGACATAATAGGTCTGATCTAAAAACCCAAAAAAATTATTTTTTTGTCGGCCTGTGTCATCAGTAATGAAATGACTTAAAATATTACCTGCATATTAATTTTTATATTTTTATTAATTTTTTTAGCATTATTTTTTGTTTATGATTTAATTTATTTTTTCCTCTGTGACAAAGTACCTAATCAATGAAATAAAAAAATGGTTTGATTTATGTTGACATCCACAACTTTTAGTATTACATGTAAGTATAGATACTTATAATACAGATTGCATTACGGCACCTAACCAGAAATATTTTTGGGACACATAGGTAGATAATGTCCATAAGAAATAAATTATAAATTTAATATAATTTAATGTTGTGAAAATATCAAATTTTGAGAATTACAATTACAGATATTATTAGATTCTAAAAATTGAAATGTGAAAATTTGGACAATTTTTTCTAATCAAACTTTTAACAAAGAAATATAAACTTAACACTAATATATTTTGTTGTTATTTACATATTTTTTATTAGTAGTTTCGTCACGAATTCCACATAAGCACATACAACGAAATTGCAAATACGTGATAAATATTATCTACAGGACCTAGCTAATTTTAATACTTTTGTCGAAATCGAACTATTTGGATGACTTCAATTATGAGAATGCCTAAATGACATCAGGTATTTTTTCTGGTGATATAAAATGGCCTTGAACTTGAAACGTATGAGGCCCAAAACCAATTTTAACGTTTGTTCAAATAAGCAGTTGCATCTAACGAAAAGTATTGCTTGCTTATAAATGTTGCTATTAATAATTTTAGCTAATTAAAACCTTACTAGTCTAAGTAAGTACACAAAAACTTTGTTTTCATAACGTAAAATGTTATGTTGTTTATGTATCTAGTAGTACCGTAATCCGTAACAAAATTTAATTTACGTACCTTTACTTAGACACATGTTTTACTTTATTGTGAGTCTACTGAAAGAAAAGCTATTTTTCTACGTGTTCTTCCATACACCCACACATATGCATGTAAATATTCATAAAAAATGAGGAACATTGTTATCGTGTCATTAACATATCAAAAAAATTTTCCAGCTAATGGATAACAGGTATTATTTGTCAAAATATGTTAAAGGAATTATATCAAACACGCAACAAAATTTTTATAGGGTAAATGAACCCACAAAAACTTAAATACTCATTTTTTTTTCTGAATAGTATAATAAGTAATTAATTTCTATTGAGAAAAGAAACTAAATTTAGTGGATATAGGTTCATGTCATGCATGCATGGCAAGATATAAGGTAAATTAACATAACAGCTAAATTAGTAAAATTACAGGGGTATATTGACGCCGAAAATGAGTGTTAGGCATAGATATTTTTTTAAATAAAATATATTTTAAAAACGAACATAAACCACAAATGTTTCTATATGTACAGTCGTATAATTTTTTAAATTATTTTTAAATTAAAACCTAAAGTAAAGAGTTATTAAAATAAGTTTCATTTTCTGCAAAACCTTTATTCAAGTACGGTTTTTACAACAAATCAATAACTTTGACGCACATAATTTGTCTCTAATTTAGATGATGGTTATTTACATCGTACTACAACAATGTTAATAAAATGCCTGATGTGATGAATAACGATGTATTTTTTATATTCTCCGAAATATTAACCGCGATATTGTTACTTTTATAGTAGTAGTATAGTGATTTCAATATTTTCAGATTTTTATTAACAATGTAAACATAACATAGACGAATGGAAACCATTGATTTATTGGTCTGCGCTGAAGTTAATAATAGAACATATGTTAGTGAAATATTTTTTCCCAACAATAGAAGTCGACGTAATACAATACGATTTAATCAAAAAGTTAGTGACGTTTACCAATAATCCAATTGTTAATTTTTTTATATCTGATAGATTCATTGTTAAAATTACTGTATGAGTGCTAATTGAAGTTATTTATTTTAAAATTACTAGTTAAATTTGTAATCCCCTTTATTCCGCTAATTAAGAGATAAAAAAGTTCACCTTTTCGGAGAATCAGTAAACATTGATTTTTCTCCACCTCACTAACCAAAACAAGCCATTAAATTTGACCTCCGTTACATACTAAATAATAAATTAGATGTAATCAATACTAAATCTTGAACAATTTTTATTAAAACTTGCATTAATACATTAAGAAAGATATAATCAAATCTTCCAAAATTATAATTGAGTCTAGATCTCCAATCGTAATCATGTGGATTTAGAACTAAGTAGACATTGGTGATATTTGTGAATATTTCTGAAAAATTGTTCATATTATATTTAAGTCAACAAATACATGTATACTGTGCTCTATACTACACTGTACCTCTCTATCAATCAATATTTATCTTATTTGAAAAAAACATATTTTAACACGAAATAATTACCTGCAAAACGATTATTCTGACATAACTATGTTTGATTTTAGTCATAGGCGTCCGGTTTTAAAATTAAGAAAATGATGGGCTTCTTTAAAAATATATTAGTAAATTTTTTATTTAAAAATTAATACTATATTCTAATTTAGAATATCCTACCAAATTCGATTAAAATATATTCAAAAAAAGCTTTGCGTTAAATTTTTTATATTTTTTTATAAAGCTATTCAATCCCCGATCAATTTCTTCTAGCATCGTTGGTAATAAAAATTTAGGGAAAGAATGTATCTGCCCTTAAGATTTTCGCATTTATTTATAACATTCACAATAGAAAAAAATTCACGGCAAAAGAACAAATAAAACAAAATGACATTAAATAATAAAATAATTACCTTTTATTATTTTTCTTCTTACCTATTTCTTGCTTAGTAATTTTACTAACTTTCTTAATAGCAAACTCATCCTTATAAAACTTTCTTTTACATAGTGCTCCAGAAATGGAGATAATTATTGTCATTTAATATTGCACTGGACACATACCTGTTACTCGATAGATTACTGAGAGACAAAATACAAAATTTAAACAATGGATGACTATATAGAATGTTTTCAGAAGATGAAAATAAATGAAAATTCTTTATTTCCTAGGCGAAAAATAATGTTTCTGTTTCAATCAATAAATATTTTTCATCTGCTCCCACTATAGTAAATAGACTATTAATACATTGTTTTTAAAGAGGTAAGTGGATATTACCAAAGAAGTGGAAGTTGCTATGGATAACGGGAGGTAAGTAAGGTAACTTAACTCGCTAGGCAAAAAAGCGAGTTTCTTTTGAGTTATTAATGCATATTTTATGAACAAATAAATAGAAATATTACATTTTATTAATTATTATGAGTGAATATTTATCGTAATTGTACAGTTATTACACTTAGTAACATTTATAAAATCTGAATAATTATTCCCCTCGCGTTTACTAATTGTCACATTTTTCTCAAAATGATTTCACCGCTCCACTTCAGTCACCGGAGGCTCAGCATTATCTTACTGATCCATTAAAACAACATGATGCGACGTACTACTATAACCTGGAGTTGAAGTGTCATTGTAAAGAATCCTGTTGGCTATTTCACTTTTGTTACTTAAACTGTCAGCAACATAACTTTCTGCAATTGTGGCTGATTTCCTCCCACCACGTCTCTTGATTGCTAATACATCAACTCCTGCATTAGCCAGTAACGTTGCCGATGTTCTTCGGAATGAATGGCCTGTATATATTTCAGGATGTTCTAGTTTCAAAAACTGTGCAATCTTATTAGGAATCATAGAAAGGGTATTCTTGCCGACTGGTTGGTTGTAACATCTACCTGCTTGATAGCCCATAAAAAAGCGTGAAATTTCATTTTTAATTTCCAATCTAATCTTGATATGTTTCTTGAGAATTTCTAGGTGAGAAATGGGACTCAGGCCATTTTTAGAATCTGGAATTGTAACTGAAGTAGTATCATCGATATTTTTGAAATTGAGGTTGTCCAAAGTAAGCATTAACTCATCAGAACGGTAATGCCTAAGACCGTCACTACCTTCATTAGCAAATATGTATTATTGGGTGCTTGAACGAGAAAATCGTTTTCTCTTATTACTTTTAAACAACAAAAAATCAGCTACTTCTTATGTAGGATTAAATATGATATATATTCTAACCAATCGTTCTTATTTCGAAGTAACCTTAATACACTATAAAAGAATAATTTTATTATGTACTATAGAAATCAACATACATGTCACGAACCGTCATTATGCATCGATCTGTATATTAATAGTACAACATTCATGCCTGTTGGTGGCGCACACACACGCTTTACCATTGAAGAGTATGTACTTAATTATACTGCATATTCACTTACAAATTATTTAAATTCATTGAATAACTCACTATCTCATCAGTAAGAAAAGCCATACTTTGTAAATTTTTTTTAACTTTCGTTGAGTTTTTGAAAAATGGAACGTTGATGTTAGTTGGCGTAAATGTATTCCAATTACTATACTCCAAAAATGTATTGAACCTAGAACTTACGTGAACATACCCATTAGCTTCAATTATATAAATTCATCAAAAGAGAATTTATTTAGACGAAACGGATTTACATAGTTGAATAACATACTATGCTGTATAATGCACATTAATAATTTAATATAATTATTTCTGTAGACTGAAAAGAATTCAGCAAGCGCATCTTGAATTTCAGTGAAGACTTTTTAAATAAATAATCCTAGACGTTTCACTTTAACAGAGTCTCTTTGAAGTGTTATGTTGGTAGTAGTTGTAATATGATGACATTCCTTATAATGATTTAACTCGAATATATGCAAAATTTTTGAAGATCATTAATTTTTTCAATTACCTTATACTCACTCTCTCATACTACTGCCCAAACATTGAAGCCGTAGCTGATGATACCGCCAGAGGTCGCGCTACTCTACACAATGCCAGTCTCAGCCAAAGTAGAGAAATACGTACCAAGGAACCCAAACTACCTTACACGAGCGGCGCGATTTAAAACTTTCACCAAACTTTCCAAAACTTTTGCCAAAAGTCGCTAACAGGATTCAAGTTGTCCAAACACTGAAGCCGCAGCAGGCGACACCGCCAGAGGACGATGACGCGCTGTGAAAATATAAATGTTATCCCAGGTTCAAATTTCGAAAACTAAAATTTTCCGATTATTACGGAATTCGAACTGGGAAAAGTGCTATGCCAAGAATACAAGTCTTTCATCAGTTGTAGTTAGCAACATCCAAAGGATGAGTAAAATCCAGAGAAACCAATGGTCTAGAATTATGGCGAACTTATCAACGACCGTGATCGAACGATATCTGGCCAGTATGTGTAATATGATCTAAATTATTGTGATTTTGCATTGTGTAAAGAAAGCAAAATTATTTTAAATTTGGCTTTTTTGCTTCCAATAATTTGGCAAAAAAACTTGATTATGTATCGATGTTTAAAATATTTGTACGCATAGTAGGTTCGTCTATGTACTTTGAAGCAGTATTTAAGTATTTTCTTAATGTAACTATAAGCTCCTTGCAATCTCTTAAAACTACATATTTGGATAGCAAAGTTAGAAACCCATAATGAGGTCTAGAAAGTAGTTCCATGACAAATAAGCCATAGCAGTAATGGAGCTTATCTCAGTAATCTCCCTGACTGGCGGCTATTTTGCGAAATTTTATAGCTGAGAATTAAAAAATTAGATGCAGTACCTATTAAACCAACTTTGTGTGTAGAAACAAAATTAACTGATTCTATTTGCATTAATTAATCGATCAAATTATTGTTCGTTTCAGCGGGCACGGTCAATAAAATGCGTGCCGACAATGCCGACACCTGTATCAATATTGACCATGTGAACCTGGACAACAACTACAAGAACAGACTAGTAGAAGCATCCGTCCAAACGACGCACCTAGTGCCGTACAGACTACGATTTTGGCCTGGAACAAACTGTGATGTGAAATTAAGTCCTTCCGAAACCAATTGCGCCCTAAAGGCGAAGTGCTGCTGTAGAATACTTAGTCAATGGATACTGTCCCAGGTCGGTCTGACGATCGTTGTCACTATATGGGCTCTTCTGGGTGCTTTAGCCTTCTTCAACACTGAAGGTAAGTATCTTTACTTCTTTGAGAAAATAAATGCAGTATTCAGCTTCATATTACCAGTTACAGCTCTGTTTCTCTGTAGTTTAACAGAAATACGAGTATCATTAAAGATATTCATCTTGAAGCACAAAAAATGGAGCAAATATACAATATTTAAGCGGAATATCGTTAATGGCCTTGCTAAATTTTTGGTACGAAAATACTAAAGAAGATATGATCTGGTTACAAATAAGCTGCACTACCTAATAATTTGAATATTCTAATTTTGCATTTCGTTAAGGTGGAGTCAAACGTGCTGCAAGATTAAAATTAAAATGACGACGGAGTATGGCATTGCTTCTTTTCCTATTACGGACTGCATTTATATATTTTTTCCATTAACTTTTGAATTTATGCATCAGAAATATCTAAGGTTTGTCTATAATTTGAATCGTTTAATTCCATGGAACAACTTGTGGTAATGAAAATATATTTTATGTCTAATGACTAGAACTATTTCAAGAATAGCAATATAACTAGTGAAACATATTGACGTAAAACGGTACTGCAAATGTTTACTTACTGTGGTGATATTGCGACGCAATAAATTCTTAAATTGGATAATGGAAAAATCAATCTAATGCATTTATTACTACAATTTTTTTTAATAAACTTTCTAACCAACTTTATGACATTTTATGAAATTATAAATTAATTGAGAATTTCCTATATTTTTGTTCATTTAGGTCCCAGAGAACAGGAGCAGTCTAGGACGTTAGCTAAAATTCAAAAAGATCTCTCTAAGGAATTGGCAAATGGTTTGAGAGAATCTATAGATCGTCAGGAAGAGTGGCCTTTCACGATCCACAGATATTTCGAAAGACACGAATCGCTCTTTTTAGAAGCCGTTGGAGCGGGTTTTGGGGAAGGAGGTGGAGGCAACATTTGGACGTACCCTGGATGCATTTTATTCGCTGTGTCGTTGTTGACTACATTAGGTAAGATTTATTATTACACAGACTGACGCAACTTCAATAATTAAGGGCGTGGATATGTCACGATACTTAAGATTTTACGATGAATTGGTCTCACAACTTGTGGAGTTATTGAGCAAATTAATTCTAGTATAGAAAAAATACATACTAAGTCTTAAGAACTTATTACGACTAAAAAATTGTAAATACTCAAAATTGTTTTAATTGAGAAAACGCTTAACATTGAATACCGGATCAAAGAGAAGACGGTTCTTTTTCTTTATATAAATAATCAATGTGCGCCAGTAAAATTTTCTCATGTGTTCCATATTCTTTGTACTTTTACTGGTACACCATTCCTCATAATAATACACGCAATCTCACAGAATTCGTGATTATTCTAGTAGAAGAGGATCCACTGCATTTTTAGCACTTTCTTGTAAATTGGTATCTATCATTACCTATATCACTCATTATTTTATTAAATTACAGTGAATATTCACTAAGAATCCTTTTGGTTTGTGTCATTTTCTACATACAGCAAAGGTCACAATAAATACACAATATGAACGTACAATATATTTAATGCTTTTCAGCCTTACAAAATAAGTGAATATGCGTAATAATACTATGAAAATTAAACGAGGTGGTTGGCTTTTCCAACAGTACGCCTAGCTTCCTAGAGACCTTGGAGAGGAGGGATTTTGGTTGTAGTACATACAGAGTGGGTGTAAACGGTCGACGTTAATACGTGCGCACTGTGACAAATTCCGGTTTAATTCGGAAAATTTTAAGTTAGGCCTCGGTAGCATTATAGGCCACTAAATAGAGGTTTTGTTTGTGACAAAAATACTAGTAGTAAACAGACTGTGCCGTCATATAAAATACAGTCTGTAGATATATGTTTATTATATTTCCTACTCCAATTTACCATTAATTAATTTTTTATGGGCAGTAGATATACAGGGTGTTTCAGAAAACATGGGCCAACGATCGGGGGCAGATTTATAACCTAAAAACAAGATTATTTTTCTACATCAACATGGGTCCGATTTTGGTTCTTTGCTTAACTAGAGTGTCAAAAGTTTTAAAATAAAATATGTTTTCTCCAGAAATTTAGATTTCCACTTTGAGGGAATTAAATGAAATTTAGACAATTAGCTATTTACAACTGAATACATATTCCTAGGTATTATTATGTTGAACATGAATTACATGACCGGACTTAGTTGCAAGCCTTTGGAAAGGTAAACGATACAGTCTTGTCAACTAATGTTTCTTAATCATAATTAGTAAATTAGTACCTATTGATTATTATGATTCACGATATAAATGTGCATGTAAAAATGCCGAACGTCAGGTATTCCTTCATTGAACTTACTGATATGCTGCTATGTTGTGGGGAAGCTAGACAAAATTCCGATTCTACGAGAAGATTGTATTTAGATAAGTTTCCTTTAAGAAGATCCTGACAAGAAAAATGTTGAAATGTTTGATTAAATCCAAGAGCTTGCTAGTAAGTCCGGTTCTGTAATTAATGTTCAAAATAATAATATCTAGGAATGTGTATTCGGTTTTATGTTGTCCAAATTTCATTTAATTTCCTTCAATGCAAATCTAGATTTTTGGAAAAAGCTAAGGAACGAAGCGAAATCAGACCCATGTTGATATGAAAAAATAATCTTGTTTTTAGGTCAGTAATCTGCCCCCGAGCGTTGACCCATGCTTTCTGAAATACCCTGAATAGGTAAACAATTTTATCATATTGTCAACAACCAGAAGCAGCGCAGCAGCTTTTTACACCCAAATTAACAAGCACAGTGACAGAGTGACAAGAATACACGGAATCACAATGATGTGAAACCTGTGGACATTCCTTGTTTTATTCCTGCATTTTTTGACATTTACGCGATTTGACATCAAACGTGAATTTGAAAGGTAAAGGTTTCTTACAAAATGTTCTTTTCTGTTCCAAAGGATACATATTTATGTGTCCTTGTATACCGTTAAGGAAATTTTATTAGTTACATTTTGTAAGTTGTTTATGAACGACTGTACAATAAAAACTATAACTAACAATATTCAAAATTGTATACCTATTTATAGTATATCCACTGCTCCTCATCTCCCGATATGCCCCCACTACTCGACCACGTACGCGCGTTCGGCCGTTTTTGAACATGTTTGGTAGAACTTTTCACCTATTTCGCATCATTTTGTCGGAAAATTAGAATATACGTTTTGTAGTATTATTCTTACTTTTAAAATCCTGCTGAAAAATTAAAATCGGACCACATCCAACGCATCCAGAAATTCAGATTGTCAAATTGATTGTCTACAAACTGTCTTTTACATGATGCCACAATCAGTTTGCTACTAGTATTTTTGTCACAAATTTACTGATTCTATTGATTGGCCTACTAAGTGAGTTCTAACTTGCTATAAATAAGAGCTCACTACACCCTACTGAATAGAGACAAGACTTTTGGTGTTGTAGCTGCAAACACGTTTCAGTAAAACGCACTTATGACAACATGCTTTTTTTTGTTGCCCTTGCAAATATTTCACTAACAGCCAAAATATCCTAGCAAAGCGCCTCACTGGGATAATTTTTTTCAGTGCACCAAAATGATGCAATGACAACGTATTGCAGACTTATCCGACTTTGTTGTCAAATGTTTACCCATATTTAATCGATTCTTGCATCAACAGACAGACCTGCGTCGTTATGAACTATATCAGTTTTAATAAAAAATGGAATTGCTCAATTTCTACAGTTAAATCTTCAATTTGAGAAATTTTTTCAATAAATTTAAAATTTCACGATATTTTGGCTATAGCAATTTTTTCATCGGCTTATTCAAATGACAATTTAAATGATTTGCTTTGCCAAATAGAATAACAGGCTGTATTCAAGTAAGTTGATATCCCAATGGAAAATGGCTTATAACTTGACCATTCCGAAATTTTCTATTTGGAACATATTAGATTTGCTTTCTCAGGACGAATCAAACGACACCATTCACTTCTCTATGCTCTCTGATCATCGAGATGTAAACTACTAGAATTGATTCAATGATTTATTTCGAGAGTTAAATTTACAAAACTCATTTGTAACGCGTTAGATATAGCCCACTTTTGACTATTTTCAGTGAGTTTATCCGATCGAAATTTGTGAGCACACAGATCGTTCCGTTTTCGTTGCATCTCAATTTTTGGGAGAATACCTGTCTACACAAATGTATTCACGCCAAAAAAATTGTTACATTATTAACTTCTATCTGGCAACTGACTAAGGTAGCTTGCAAATTTATTAACGTTTGTTTTAGGGTTTGGAGCTCCTGTTCCTCGAACATCTCTAGGCAGAGGTGCAGCAGTACTCTTCGCGTCGATAGGAATTCCCCTTCACTTCCTCCTAATCCTGAACATCGGCAACCTTGCAGCTATCCAGCTGCAAAAGCTGTCTCTTCGAAATTCTTCAACTGAAATACCAACTGCCCCACGCCCAAAATGGTTGAAACTATTCCCATTTCTATCCATATTGTTTTACTATCTTCTAGGTGTAGGCCTCTTCGGCTTTGCAAGGAGAAGAGATCCAGCGTCTTGCTTCATGTTTCCCTTGGACTTCACTGCGGCTGGTGGGGTGGCTACCGTTGATGGACAAATTAGGATTTTTTATGCGCTTTACCTTGAAATGGCTGTGACGCTAGCCGCGATCGTCGTGTCTCTCTTGCAAGCGTCTGCGACTAGAGGAATTGTTGATATAGGCTTAAAGTTAGGGCTGTTGACGAACACTTGAGCATCGCATGCCTTCCTCGACAGGCTTTTTGAGTTCGTTCAAATGGATGACATATCAAAGAATAAGTCAATTTTAGTTTTAATTGCATAATGGCAGATAATAATTTGTTTCTATTGACATTTGAGATTCGTGCACCAGAACTGAAGCAACTGATGATGTTTAAAGGAATTATAAAGCTTTACACAAAGTAGATGTAAGATAGTAAAGCTTTCTATGGATTTAAATCAATTTTAAAAAGACAGATAGTCAAAAATCTATTTATTAATATGTATATTAAAGGAAAATATATATATTTCAATTATGTGTTATTTTTTTACAACTTAGTTAACAAATATATTTATTTGATGGCTGTGAAAGAAATAGGAAAATGAACAAATATTTGTGACATACTACGAAAGAAACTAAAATTCGTTACTGAAGAGCACAATATTTGTAATAAATATAGTACAATCTACAAGTGCTTTACATTTTCTTCACCTTCTAATTTGCATTGTTAAATATTGGATCTTGAATAAATTAGGTTATTAAAAACAAATTACAATATTTGTACGATCTTTAATAGTATATTACGTAATAAGTGTTGTAAAAAGCATTTTACGCACGAATGGAAAAGTTACGCACGACGCCGCGTAGCGTCTGCGATCAATGCGATCAATATATGATTCCTATTACGTACAGTAAAAAATCACACAGCTTGGTAAAAAAATCGTACAGTTTTCCTAGCGACCGCCTAGCAACGGTCAATAGAAACAGTATTTTATTGACCGTTGCTATGCGGTTGCTAGGAAAACTGTACGATTTTTTTACCAAACTGTGCGATTTTTTTACCGTACGTAATAGGAATCTTACATTGATCTCAGACGGTGTGTTTTTAAGTATTTACAGTAGCGGTTGTAGATAAAAATAGAAATTGAACTTGTTCTTAATTACTGCTTTGACAATTGCCCGACATAAATACCAAAGCATATTTTTTTTATTTTTTTCTTAGATAATGTAATATCTACTGTTATAAATTCCTTATCATAAGTATGCCTTCCATCAATTTTCTTAATATTATTAAACCTAATTGTTCATATAATTTTAATTAAATTCTGTAAAAATATGGTGTTCACATTCCAACTCAGAGAGTACAGTAAACATAAACATACAGGTGTTCAACGTAAAAACGCACATTAATAAGAGTATTCCTAAATCCGTGCCTTTTAACAGCATAACATTTAAATATTTGAATATATGACACAATATGTTCTTTTCCTAGTCTTCAGTAAGAAAGTAGTTAAGACAGGCACTGAGTGCAAACTGAACCGATTTATGAAACTTTCGATTTCACATAATAATGACCAAATAAATTAATATTTTAAATTTAATTTGGAATTGCAAAATAAAACGTCAGTGTCTGTACTCAATCAAGTTTAGTTTCCATTCAGTGACTCTAAAGTTTCATTATCCGTTATGTACGATTTTGAAATTTTCTTTGTTTATATTGCATTTGGAATTCTGCTGTTGGAAACATTTTATTTAAGGAATAATTTTATTACGTATACTAGTGTTGTATTTATTGTACAGTAAATTATTAAAATGTTAATAAAAATTTGACAATATTAAAAAAATCTTTTTCTGGAATGGGTAAAATTAAAAAAAAATACTTAATAGTTATAGGAAGAGAAAGATCGATAGACAAATAGAAATCGATGGAAGAGATTTATTATTTACAGGCAATAAGCGATGTAAAGAATGACCGACCGAGAAAGGGTATAAATGTAGTGCAGCGTCGATGGGTCAAAATCAGATAAAGGTTAGACACGAGAATAAAATATTTAAAAAATACAGGTGCGTTAGCACTTAAGGACGTTCGGTAGAGATAGCGGGGGAAAACATTTGCGGGGCAAGGGGAAACTAGCGATGAGTGAAGACTTGACAACGCCGTACGGGTCTTCAATGTGTGAGAGTGTTCATGTACACGCATCAAGTGTCTGCACCAGAGACAATAGATAACTATAGATAGCTAACTCGAGTGGAGGGGGAAGGACTGTAAAAAGCATCAGCGCCAATGTGCCAAGTGTATCAAATAGAAGTCATTTAGCGGGACTTTTAAAATATATTGATAATATTAAATAATAAACTTAATTTTGCCTAAAATGATTATATCTCATACTGAGACTGTAAATAATATACCATAAAGAGACAGTATGTCACATTACTTTAAATTTTGAAACGTCATCAAAGTAATGTACAATAGTGTTTTTTTTTAAGTATATTATCTACAATCTTAGTATAAAATATAATCATTTTAAGCAAAAGTAAGTTTATTAAAACAACCCCTTCATCAATAATCCTTCTACTTCATGGGATTATTTCTTAATTGTTAATGGCAAAAAATACTCAAACTCTAAAATACTAAATACTGCCACAGAAAAGTAATTTCAGACAATATATAAGTGATATAGATATTATTTAAAGTATCGTTTCTTTCTAAAGGATACAATTGCTTATTTTGTTTTTAATTTTACTTACCTAATATGTACTTCAATGATTTCTTTGCACTGTTGTAAACAGTTTTGTTTATTTTATTAAATAAAATGCATTTGTTTTTTTAATTATTTATAGTAAATTACAATACGCTGACATATTGCAAGTTATATTATACTATAAAATATATAAATTAAAATACTTTACAAGCTAGACCACACAAACACACAAGGTTATAGGCCGTGTTCTTTTATTGAAAATAAACTTAATATTCAAATTGAAATTCAAGAAATGTTAAATTTGTTTAAACTACACTTTTACTAATAGAAACATGTCTAATACAAATATTTACACATACTATTTAAAATAAAGTAAGCACCTTTATATCTTAATGAAGTTTCAGTAATTGAGTCTACCGCACTAACTATACCTGTTCGGTTGGGGTTATACAATCCCTTGAAGTACCTGGTATTGAAATAAATGGATTATCCTCTTCTTCACCTTTAAAGAGAATTGAATTTATTACAATTTATACAGTTCTATAAAAGTATTACTAAATAATCAAATAAAATTCTGTAAAGGACACTGCAAATAAATTCATGCATTGATTAAAAATAGTACATACTTCAGTCAACGATTTATATTTATTTTACAGTAGTCACTAATTTATATTGCAAATAACGCAAATAACCTCCAATAAAAGAATATTCTAATCTATAAATGTAAATTGGAAACATTTTAAAAATTTTAATTCTGGTTAAGTAAATGCGAAATTACCTGGCTGCCTTAATGTGATTTGAACTTCAGAATATATATTGGGTGTATTGCATTCAGTAGAAGTGCTTGGAATAGGATCTGGTACCTCCAAATGAGTTTCTGTTTCACAACTTCCATATTTATAAAGCGAATTTTCCTGTGTCGGACTTTCATGAAAATCTAAAGTACACATACAAAAATATTGACACAATATTTTATTTAGTTTTTATATATTTACCTGGCAAAAATAATATGGGCAAACTTCCATATTTTAACTTTTTCTCCCCAGGAGTTCGACAAAATTCACTGCTTATCGCATACTCTGTATCTCCTATAAGCAATTTGAGGATCAAGACTTCAGTGTATGATTACCAATCCTCTTTACCCAAATATCGTATACCTGAAAGAAAGTGTAATAAAAATATTGTATATAGGTTACAAATTTACGGTACAATTGTTTCCTTTATATATAAGCGTTTTAATTCTTACTTACATTTTCATCACAATTCGGTCCACAACACACAAAAACCATTGTCCTATTATAGTTTATAATCAATTAACAATAAATAAAATACAACAATACCACAAACCCATCTGCAAAACAAAATAAATTCAAATAGTAAATGATAAACTTGGTTCCTGTTTTATCAACAACACCCAAGATTCCTAGATGCCAGCGCCAAAATGGCAAGTGTATGAATCATTGCGTAATCCTCCCCCACCACAGAGAGTGCACAGCCCCTGGTCTGCACTCTGCACTGTCTGCTCGTCTGCTGCGTCGGTTACGGCAGCGTATGTGTATGTTCAATTTGTTTGTGATAAAGCTGCAAGTATTTGACTTTTATTTGTTATAAAAATGTAATAAAAATGAATGAATAAATAATTCAAAAGACTTGTGACAATTGTATTTATATTCGTAGATTTCATTCGTAAAAATGCCAAAAGCCAAACAGTATAACCTCCAAACTACGAAGAATGTGAAACTTGCGACGATGTCGTTGCGTTTCTGTCGAACTCTTATTTATTTTTTTATTCATAAACGAATCAGATGATCGTCGCAAAACTTGGTATACATTAAATTAATAACATTATCTGTGACATATAAAAAAATTAGCGAAATTCATTGGGCCAATTTTCTTAAAACTGAGTTTTTATCAGTTTTCCCATAAGCGACCGTGTTAAAATGACTGAACTTTGAAATTGAATATCTCGAAAACGAAATAGATGAACCTCTTAAAATTTTGAATGGTTTATTGTAACAACAATAAGAACGTCTGGTCAAAATTTCAAAAAAATTTATTGGAGTGTTTTATCTCTACCGAACGTCCTTAAACGGCCCTAATGGTGCGACGAAGTATGAACATATCAACTTATCCATCTGAATCTGAAGCTCTATCCCTCTATGTGAATCTCAAACCTCGATGTTCCACTATGTTTTGTCGTCGTGGCCGTTCATCCGCTACGGGGAGCACTCCTCGCAACTCTCCCTCATTTTTTCTGTTTTCTTCAAGGATATGGTGGAGGCCAAAAATTCTCGCTCGAGAACAGTAATGTCTTCTGGCAAGGTCGAGGCACATGAAACGATTCGTTCTACGCGCGACATTTCCGGAGCTCCTCTTTCCATCGTCTCAGTACCAAAAGTCTCAACGGGCTGAATACATACACTAAGTCAACGTTAAACTTGTATATTAAAGCAAAATATAAATTGTTTAATAACCTGGTGTCTATTTCCGCGCACAAACCTTTTTGAAAAAAATAATTTCAAAAATTTTCTGACTGACGGTTTTTTCTGTCAAGAAGTCAAAACCCTCATCATTATATATCTTACCAGTTTGGCCGTTTTTTTTTTTTAAAGGAAAAAAACCAACATCCTGCGACAACTTGTACTCAAATGAAACAATATTTATTGTTTCTCTATTTAGAGAGAGGTCAGCCCATTTCGATGTTTGTACAATTTTCACCAAGCCACCCGGATGAGACGATTGCCGCCAAGAGTCCTCTGTTCCCGCGACGATGACGACAACCAATGCCGCTCTCTCCCCGAAATCGCCGACGAGTATAAGGAGAGTCAAAAATTTTTGCCCCACTTTCCAAAAAGTGGCGAAAATAACAACATCCAAGGGACTTCAAATTCGCGCCTCCAAAAGACCTTAGGGTCGGTATTAAGCCAAATCAGTTTCAGACCTTCAACTCCCCAGACGAGGCCGTATTCGCGAGAACTCAGTGTTTCCGGTTTCAAAATTTCTAGAACTAAACCGGACCAAACATTCGGCCACCTAGCGGAATTGACCCAGCCAGTGTGCGAACGTCAACCCAGGTTTCCTGCGGTATATTAACCAGACAGGGATGCCTGGCCAGTGCATACAGCACGACCCAAATGTTTACAACTCACCAACGTAATCCAACCTAACCAGAGCACAGACGCCTGGCCCGACTCAATCCGAATTTCAAGGATTCGCATTATATAGCAGCCACTGCATTATATTCGCTGTACTATGTGACTGTACTGGATGTGACCCAATTTAATTATCACTTCGGGGTAACCACTTAAGGGTTGCTTTCGGTGTGCAGCAAAATGAAACTCTCTCTCAACAGTAAAATAAAAGTATTTCTTATTAATAACAAAAGTACAGTGAAAAGAAATATTGTCGGTGTGTGTGTATCCCGCGTTGCAGATTTGTCTGTACTTTGTCGCTTGCAACTGTTAGATCGGTCCGGCGTCAGGCTGGCGCTCTGGTACACATGTCTGCATGTGACAAAGCAACAAAAAACAGACGAATTTGCAACGCGGGATACTCACACTACGGTTCCCGGAAAAGGGCCACGGCAGATTGGCGCCAGAGACTAGATACATATACCTGCGAGCGACCACACGACGGCACTCTCCAACGAACGCTTGCCCCGACAACATTTCGTTTCCATTGCACTAATGTATTTATGTCATAAAAAATACTGTTTTCATTATCATTTTTTTGCTACAGTTGTGTTGCTATAGTCTTTCCGATATCAATTGAAGAACCAAGAGGATGACAGTATGTACCAGGTTCGGTTGCTGATGCAGCAACTCGGCATTGAAATATTTGAAAAATTTGTTCCTATATTTATTTAGCCATACCCATATACAGGTCTGGTCGAACTAAACGTGCAGGTAGTAGAAATGTATATGCCCAATTGAAGAATGCGCATGCGCGCACTGTTGTTCTGGTCGACTGCGTCATAAATTTCAGTTGTCGACAAATCGACTGGCAGTGCAGTGCAGCAATGCGGAATTTGGGGGATTCATGTAATTTTAATTTATTATAGACACCTTCTATTAATCATTCATATTACAAATTGCGAAAGGGAGAAATAAGAGGGATATTTGGTTTACTAATATTATTACAACATGGCATTTTGGAGACCTTTTGAAACAGAACAAAACAAAATTTAGCATCAATATAATAAAATTGTTTGAGGACATAAATAATTAAAATATGTTGTTTCCCAAATGAACATATAATAGAAATTTTCTACACATTATATACAACTTATTATAATTTTTTATCTTTAGCAAAAAACTTTTTTAGGGATGCCTATAAGATTTTACCAAAAAGCAGATCATTTCACAGTCAGAAATAGGGTTTCTCTTCAAATTGTATTTGCATATCTTTTTGTACAGCAAGTTATGCAAACACTTATAAATTGTAAACAGAGATGGACTCAGAAGGTTCCAAGAATGTTTCTTATTGGTATATTAGTAAATTAGTAATTACTAAAAAGAATATATAATTTGCAAAAAAAATTTACCAATCGACTTCAATTTATTCACTCTTCAAATATCCTCTCCAAGTTTGTAAAAATTCTGTACCTATACCAACGTTATGATTTTTGTAGTGTTTTCTATTCAATGGTGTTTTGCTGTTGTTTTTTACCAATTAAAATGTAATCCTATGATTTCTCATTTCTTTATAAGTGTGCTACTGCTGTGTCCTGAATTCGCCCCTGGTTTTTACGTCATGTACGATTCATCCGCGGACCCACAGACCTGATATCAAATCCTTTATTGGTTTGTTTCAGGGATTAAAGATAAAGTCACAATCTTAGTGTTTGAGGATTCGTTTCAATGACACTTTGTTATTTAAAATGACTTCGGTATGTATTAAAAAAAGCATTAGACTGTTTAACAATATTTTTATTTAAAACAGACAAGAACAGAAAATCTGGGTCTTACATTTGATTAAATTTTTTATAAAATATATACAAAAATAATCACTGACGAAACCTATGTGACTGTAACTAGCACACTAAGAATGGAATTTGAATAGCTAATTTTTTATTTTTTTTCGATCGGTATCACTCAATTCATCACTTAATTCATCCTTAAAGGGACTTTGCCGTGCGTCAGTTGTTCCCTTTTCATCAACCTTTGTCACTTTTTCATTCCTACTGTTTGTTAAATGAGTAACGTTTTCTGAAATTTTTATATTCTTACCTTCTAAAGCTAACCTAATTGCATCTAAAAGTTCTAATTTTTCTGCTGTGGTAAACGCTTTATTACCTATAATTTAAGAAAAAACATATTTCAGTTTGACTGTAGAGTTTATTGGTTGATAAATGAAATTTCAACAATATTAACCTAGTTTCTGTTTAACCGAAAATTGCCCTTTTTATTTTAGTCAAAAAGCCTTCCTGCTCTTCCTCAGAATGTTTCGCTTGGGTTTTAGCCTCAGAACCTGCGAAAGGCATTTCTCCATAACTTCCTGCCAAAGAAAAATCATTTTAGTGTTGCAGCTTCACAAGCGTTTGTTGAGTTAAACCCAAAGGAAACATTCAGCAATGTTTAGGAAATGTTCTCAACAGCTCCACAACCTTCAATGTTTTGAATAATTCGAACCTGCCCAAATTAGGAACTGACGAATGGTCTTAAAAATTCATTAGAATTTATTCCCCCAAAAAATCCATAATATCAAGTGCTTCTCTAATTTTTGTATAAAAAAAAATGGTCGCAGGTGGCCATGGATATTAATTAATAAGTGATATTCCTTTAAGTGTCCAACAGACTTCGTCCCATTCGCGCGAACAGGACCAAATTGCACAAACCAGGAAAGGCAACGTATCTAAAAAAACCCACGCAGGCACGCAGTGTGTCGAGAAAGTAGTGGCGCCGTCGCCGTCATGCAAAATTTGTTTCGGTTAGATATGTTGCCTTCTTGGTTTGCGCGATTTGGTCCGTACGATCCTATTCATACAAATGGAACGAAATCTGTGGGGCCCTTAACCAAAACAGATTTTACACACGGTGAAACCATACAGTACCGCTTTTATCTTCACACGCTGCGTGCCTCGCATGTTTGTGCAGATTCGTGCGGGTCAATTCGAGCGAACTGAATGAAAAAAAAATTTTAAAAACTATGGAATTGGTTAGTTTTTCAGTATTACATTGTATAGACACGCGCAAGTCAAAGTTAACAGAATTTTTCGTTAAATTATTTATGTAATACTATTGTTGTTTAGCTAGTGAGAACAGCTTTCACAATTCTGAACATTTAACAGAGGGAAGGGCATTTTAATCATTTAGTAATATGTACTTTAAATAAAATAAATAGTAATAATAATACTGTAAAAAAAATGGTAATCTTGCAAAGACTATGAACAGGAAGCTAAAGCACATGTATTTATGAAAGTGGCATTATGAATAAACAGAAAAACAAAATGTAGAAAAAACACCGGTACTAAAGTTTATGAAATATAAAAATTTCTTAATAAACTAAGATACAGGGTGCTCTATTACAGGCAAGATACAATAACTCGTTATTAATTGTTGTTTACAAGATATAATACCTTGTTGTTTTTCAAGATACAAAAAAAAATTAAAATAAAAGCTGGAACGGTTAAAAAATTATTTTAAAAGTATAAGAATAGAGCGAGTATAAAAGTGTTGATGTCAAATAATTCTATAATATGGCAGTGTAAATAGTTTTAAATTTGATTGTGGGGTTGCCAAATTATTTAACAAAATTCTTCAATCTTGTGAATTGTTAAAATCTGTAATAGTTGCAATTGTTAAATAATTGACAGTGTGAAAAGCAAAGGTTAGCCATCCACTCCAGATCACTATTTTTGCTTCGTTCCCCATTTTTACATTTCTTTGAATTTTCAAAATGGTGCACGTTGCATTTAAGCACTTCACTACAATTTTTTATTCTTTTTGACTTTTATTAAAGCCTTCTATAGATATTTTTGATAAATTTGAAAATACTTATTTTATTAAAAATAAAAAAATACGCCGTGCTTTCATAAATCACCCTGTATATGTGTAAATACATTTGAAATCTGGTATTTTTAATTTTCTCCAACGTTTTAAACATTTTTTTTTTGTATCTCAAATAATAAGAGTTACCTATTATACTTTGTCATAATAACAGAACACTCTGTATGTATTAAACTGTTTATAGACCTCGGAGAATATGGAAGCATTTTCAACAAAAAGAAACTTGCCAATTTCTCTATGTACCTTTTTTTGAGGGTAAATGTACAGGGTGTTTTCTAAATCCTTGTCAAAACTTCAAGAGATTGTTTTCTAATGCTACAAGTGTCTAAAGCCAATGTGGCGTGGTGGTTTTCAAAAATATTACATTTTGATTTTTTAGGAAGGTATTTGAAGTATATTGTTGAAATTTGGAGTAGAGATTATTAAAATCTGGAATAATGACTATTAAAATTTGGAATATTGACTGATTAGCTAAGGGAAAAAATATGTATTTGATTGGTATACAAAGCATATCCAAAAACGATGGAAATGCTTGAAGAATTTGCCGCTAAATTTCCAAGAATATTCACATGATAAATATTTAGAAATTTTAGTCAGAATTAGTGAAGGCTAAATGACCAGTGATTTAAAAGTGACTTACCAGAGAATGTGATCTGTGACTTTTAATCATTTTTAAACTTCAAAATTTATACATTTTTTATTGGTGTTTTGCTATACTTATTAGAATTTCTAAACTGTCTTTGTACTTTACAATATAATAACTACCTTCCCATTTTGACCACATTTAAGAAAAAAAAATTATTGAGAACTATAAGTAATGATTTTAAATGAATTATTGAAATAAAGGGAAAGATCAATCAAGATAATTCAATGGACATTCAGTAATTTTGGTCATTTCTGGTTAAGTCACTGCCATCACTAATCAGATTTATGTTGTTTTTATACAACATTTCAAAATACTTATTGCCACAGATTGGATCAAATTCCTGAATTCCTACAAACTGAAAAAAAAAATAATTTGAGTGCACTTACCATCCTTCTTGAATGTAACACCCATTATCTGTCCTGGTGTATCTTTTTCTAACTCGGCATAAGCCATTACTAAAGCCTTCTGCTTCTCATCTAATTTCTTTGGTACGATAACCTTGAACGTAACATAATGATCCCCGTGGCCATACCCAGATACTTTCTTCATGCCCTTCCCACTTAAGCGGATCTTAGTATGCGAAGATGTGCCTGGCATAACCTGAAATCAAATTCGAGGATGGTAATTTTGAACGGACTTGGTTCATTCTAATTACTTGTATGGTGTGGTCTTCATATAATCCTTGTATCCTAATTGTACCTCCTAATATGGCTTGTGAGACGGATATGTCAGCTTCCGTGTAGACGTCAGCTCCATCTCTTTTGAAATAATCTGACTTCTCTACTCTAAACGTCACAAATAATTCCTTATTTCCTACCGACATTCTCACTGTTTGTCCATCTTCAATACCTGAGGTGGCAAATATTAAGTTTAAATATTTTATTGTGACACAAATTAACAAGATCACTGCTCATGCACAGATTGTGTCGGCATCAGCTTGTATACGAGGTTTGATCAAAAAGTAGCAGGTATTTTCAAATTGCGGGTGTTTTGACTTTTTTTTGTGTTAGTGATGTACCTGTCGATTTTAGGGAGCTGTCATACTTAGTTTGTGTTTAGCGAATAAATGAATAAGACTTACGCCCGTGTTTTTGGCGATTTTTTTGTGTGGTAAAATGTCGGATCAGAGAGTTTGTCTAATATTTTGTGTTAAAAAGGGAATTAAGAGCAGTGAAGCATTCACAATGTTAAAGTAGGCCTTTGGCGGCGATACTATGTTACAGCCAGCCTACAAGTTTTGCGCAATTTGCATGAGGTAATACAATCTCACAGAGGAACTACTTTGAAGGGGATGGGATAAAAATTGAAGACCAAATAAAGACTTTCTGAGAAAATTTACAATTCCCGTTCCCCGTTCCTTTTTAATCAAACCTCGTAGAAGTGCTCATACTGCATATGTGTCGGTTGAAAGACTTGTGTTACTATTAATTTGAAGAGCTGATCACTGCAGAATACTTTTGTTATCATAACAGTGCCTCAAAAGGGATTGTGTAAATAAATTCAAATGAGCTTGGTTTGGTATGTTAACTTCTGCTAATTTTACAGTGACAGATAATAAGGCTTGAAACACTAAAGATTTACTGACAATGAATTGCCTGTATTAGCTAATTCTACTGATTCCGATGAGGGATTTTTCCAGATTCCAGTAGTAAATGAAATAAACTTATGACCCTCTAAATAAATTCCTAACAAATCAATGTTTCAATTTTACCTTTAATTTCACTTTTTATATAGTGCCTACAATGTTTTGCATTTTGTATTTTTTTTAAATTGGCACATTTTAATAAATACATATATCTTATAAACGTTTCAAAGCTGAGTGTACTCTTTGGTGTGTTTGTTTTTTTATAAACAACAAACACCAAAAATCATGCACTTCGTTGCATTGGCAGATCTACATTCACTAGGGTGGCCCAAAAAAAAAAAAATATTTGTTTTTTGTGTTTCTTGTAAAAATATTAGTTGGTTTATCATGTTTTAAGAGCCCCCTCAAAAAATCAGCTCAAAAAAAATTTTTTAGAGGTTGCTCAAAATTTTTAAAATCTTCCAAAATCGTCAAAAATGGATTTTTTTTAAATTTTTTTCTTGTTATTTTATCATTTTCTAGGTTGAAAAAAATCTCGATTCTGAAAATTTATTCATAATTATTTTAACTTTAAAAGTAGTGTACCTAAAATGTTTTCGAGCGACCTCTAAAAATAAATATCAACGAACTAATAATTTTTTTTGTTGAATTTGATGAACAAAAGAATAGAAATAAATCACGAGACACTTAAAAAATTTCTCGGGGCAAAATTTACTACCGCACTGAGTATCAATAAATATTTATAATTTTTTATTTTTTTAAAATTCAAGTGTCTTGTGATTTATTTCTATTCTTTTGTTCATCAAATTCAATAAAAAAAAATTATTAGTTCGTTGATATTTATTTAGAGATCGTTCGAAAACATAGGTAGGTACACTACTTTGAAAGTTAAAATAGTTATGAGTGACCTTTAGAAATTAAAATATCAATTTGAAATTTTCAGAATCGAGATTTTTTTCTACCTAGAAAATGATATAATGAGAAAAAAAATTAAAAAAAATTCAACCTGACGATTTTGGAAATTTTTAAAAATCCTGAGCGACCTCTAAAAAAAATTTTTGAGCTGATTTTTTGAGGGGGCTCTTAAAATATGATAAACTAACATATTTTCACAACACGAAAAAAAAATTGTTTTTTTTTTTNTAAAAAATTTCTCGAGGCAAATTTTAGTACCGCACTGTATCAAATATTTATAATTTTTTAAAATTCAAGTGTCTTGTGATTTATTTCTATTCTTTTGTTCATCAAATTCAATAAAAAAAATTATTAGTTCGTTGATATTTATTTAGAGATCGTTCGAAAACATAGGTAGGTACACTACTTTGAAAGTTAAAATAGTTATGTGACCTTTAGAAATTAAAATATCAATTTGAAATTTTCAGAATCGAGATTTTTTTCAACCTAGAAAATGATATAATGAGAAAAAAAATTAAAAAAATTCAATCTGACGATTTTGGAAATTTTTAAAAATCTTGAGCGATCTCTAAAAAAAATTTTTGAGCTGATTTTTTGAGGGGGCTCTTAAAATATGATAAACTAACATATTTTCACAACACGAAAAAAAAATTGTTTTTTTTTTTGGGCCACCCTAATCACCTGTAAGTTTCTATTTATTTATGGGAATTGATGTGTTTTTCCTACACTACTGAAGTCTGATAAACTTTTAAAGTCATAAAGTCATAAAAAATCCAAGTCAGTTGTGAAAATTCTAATGATGTTTAAAAATCGATACCATACCAGAGAAAGCCAACTTTTGATCATTTATAAATTGCAAAAATTATGTTTCCATTGAATTGATGCTTTATTACATTTACTATATTTACATCTTGATAAAAGATTTTTATTTCAAAACAATTTTTCTACTTTTATTGAACATTTTTGGCAAACAATTTAAATTATTGACAATTATATAGATTTTAAAAAATCATTAAAACAGCAGAGAAAATTATCCATTTTAAATATTTGATGGTTATTTTTGAATATCACCTTCATTTCGCCAAACACTTTAGGTAAGTGTTCGCCATAAATTAAAAATTAATATTTTTTTTTGTGGCCACTCAAAAGGTCCAATCTGTATATTTTTTCTATTATTTTAAATATTGAAAATATCAAAATCACACATGCATTTTTACTGTCACACTTTCCTCAACTTTTGAATTAAAAGAGAAATTCTGTTGATAATAATAGTATGACCTCATATTGCAAAATTTACAGAATTAAAATACCTCGGTTCATAATGAAAACATTTTTACTTACTTATCACATTGGAAAGGTTTCCCTTACACTCGTATATCCATAAAAAAACAATTACACAATTTACAGGGTGTTGAAAAACAAAAGATACAAAATTACTACTGCTCAAAACAAGATCAAAGATACAGGGTGTTAAATGAGGTTTTCAAAAATAGAACATTGAAGCAAATATGTACTGGAAGATGGCAAGGACAAATTTCTATGCCCCTGAATCTTCTAGACTTTAAATGAGCACCTATATTTCTGAGGTTCTGTGATGCATACAATTCTCAGTAAATTCTGTTAATTCCAGCTCAAGTACTTTTCTTATACTTATGGGTAAGTACTACATGTGGTTGAATTCTTAAACCTTTTTTTTTCCAACACCCTGTATGAGCAAATGAGTTTCTAACTTATATTAACTCTTAACTGTTCTCTTTACTAAACAATATTGAAAAATTTATTTTTGTAACTAATTCTAATTTACAGTTTTCAAGACGTACATGAAAATATTTTTAAAATGTTTCAACTTTAACACCTTGTATCTCGGCAATGAAGTCTTTTTCAACAAAATGTTATGTGAACCCCTTTCATTTTCATTGTAGAATCTATTAGTAATATTTGGATCGTTAGTAACTAAACACCCTATACAACTTACCTGCAGGAACAGGTACTGTAATTTTCCTACGCTGTACAGTGGAGCCCTTTCCTTCACACTCTGTACATTTATGTTTAATATACATCCTACTCCCCTGACAATATCTACAAGTGGACCGCATCACAAAAGGTCCCGTAGTGATGCTTTCCATACCAGTACCATTACAAAACTGACACTTAGTAGCAGTGGTGCCAGGTTCACACCTGGATCCCTTGCATTTTGGACAATTGTCCACCACGTTAATGTTCACTTCTTTGTTTGTCCCTCTAGCAGCTTGACTAAAGGTTATCCGTAGAACAATCTAAAAATAAATAGACATTAAAGAAAATTATGCTTTGTTAATAATGTAAAATTACCTCTTGGGCTTCTCCAAAACCATAGTTGGATTCTGCAAAGTCATCAAATGGGGATCCTTTGCCAAAGCCAGCTTCACCGAAAATTTTTCTAAACAGCTCTTCTGGGTCTATAGTGGACTGATATTGCCATGTCTGACTAAAACCTTGGGGACCTGAAGCACGAGCTCCTCCACCACCACCCATCCCTCCCATCTGATCAGCAGTTGATCCCCAGGTGTCATACTGTTTGCGTTTTGTATCATCACTTAAAATCTTTAAAAAAATGTATTTTATTAATAATTCACTCTATGAAACTTGCTAATGTACCTCGTATGCTTCAGACACTTCTTGAAATTTTTTTGAGGATTCGGGATCATTTTTACTGACATCAGGATGATATTTTTTTGCTAACTTATAATAAGCTTTCTTTATTTCAGATTGAGATGAGTTGCGACCAACACCGAGAATTTCATAGTAATTTTTCCTGGTATTAAAAGCTGTAGATGTAATATGGAAATCTCGTTTTTCTAACCGAGGATCTAGAAAATTAGGTTAAGACATTAAGGTCATGTTATTTTTTTATGATAGTAGGATATTTTGTACTTGATAAGAGAACACTTATATTATGTATTTTATAACATAGGGCGGTTGAAAGTAGTCTTTTTTACATTAGAATGATGTAATGTGAAGAAGTTGTACTTACAATTTTTTTGTAAGGAATTTGAGAAATTTACACGAATAACTGTATTTTTATTACACTGTAAACAAGAATGAAGAAATCTTGTCGAAATTTTGTTTACTTGAGGACCTATAAATGTATTTACATTCTTCGTACTCAATATCCCTACAAGACTTCTCGAAACAGCCATCTTATCAAATGACGGCTAACAACCGGCTAACCGCAACCCGCACCGCACGTAAATTGAAATTTGAAACTTGAAATCGACCCCCATTTCTGACAGATCCATGCTTTAATTTTGGAACGCATCGGTAGGTGCGCTGATGATTTAAATTTAATTTTTTATGTAAATTATGAAGTTTATCCAACGAGTGAAGACTCCGTATTAAAAAAAATTATCCATTTCTGATGTGATTAACTAAAGTATGAAAAAGATGCGAGAGAAATTTAAAATGATATAATTTTTATATAAACGTAACTTTCATTTTTTACTAATTTCTATAAATATTAAATAAATCCTTATCTACTGCATTTGACGTTGTAAGCGTAACTTCATTGCTAGACTCCATCAGTGCATCCACGCTACAACCAACAACTTAAACTTTACAATCCATAGTGTAAAATTAATATTCAAAAATTGAAAAATGTTATTCTACTAGTGGAGAACATTCCACGAGATGTAGAATAACGTGATGTTACCAGAATGCAAATTAAAAAGTCGTTAGTATAATTTCGCAATTTGCAATTTTCAAAAAGTTGCTCTCCAAATATACACCTTTTTGAGGACTTAAAAAATCCATATAATTTATTTTATTTATTTTTATGGTAATGGCTTATACAACAACTATAAATGCGATGAGGAACCTGTACATTGAGAATGAAATTAAAATAACATGATGGATTTTAAACTACACAATTAGTGAAGTTACATCCGAAAAGTGGCGCTGCTATTACACAAGATATAGAGTCCCTAGAATAACAAAAAGATAGCACGAAGTCAAGGATATTCATAAATGTCCTTGCATGAAGTAAAGAGTTACGATCTGTAAAAACCATTTTTACTCACAGATTACTAACAGCTTTTACTAAACCGTTTTCTTTTGCTCTCAGCTTTGAATCCAGTTTGAGTCATGATTACTGAACACAGAACACAGAGGTCTGTAATCTGGGTTACTGAATCAGTATCAAACAAAACACGTACTAGATCCATGAATCCAATTTCGAAGAGAACATCAGGATTTTATTTACATTTGATTTGATTTTAAATATCGTTTAGGTAAACCTATTCTTCTGTGCACAATTAAAATAAAAATAGTAACTGTAATAGAAAAAGTTTGATTCATAGGGGAAAGGGGATTACCGATCCTGATCATATAATCTAACATTATCCGAAAACAAGAAAACAACTACGAACATGATTTTTGGGATCATAACGCGTTTAGATCCGAAAACTGCAACCGAAACAAAGCATCTCATATGTTCAAATCAAATCAAAACAAAGAGAATGGGTTATGTTTTTCTTCACTTTTAAATGTGGTGTCTAAAGTAATTTCATTTTATCCAATTAATCAAATAACACAAATGAGTCGAACAGCAGTAAAGGTAATTACATCTTCAGTAACAATATTTCTTTCAATATTAAAAAAGTGTATCACCTAACTCTATTCCCATAGAATTTATATCCTCAAGTTTCCTTCCTAACATATACTGGTACTGCAAATAATCATGTTGCTCAAATGAGACTTAGGTGTAGAACTAAAGATGAATTCAAACAGTGGCTTAAAGAGTATATGGAAACATCAGAAATTATTTTTCGTGTTCAGACAACATTCCCATGTACAGGACGGAAAGCAATTTACAAGGTGAATTTAGATAATTTTAAGAATTATATGGTCTAAATAGTCTTTTTCTTTCTCTTTCTAGGCGATCTATCGCTGTCAGCATAATACTTATCCCAATAGTCATAAAGCAAGAAGTAAGGCATCTGCAAAACACACGGATTGTCAGGCCAAACTAAAAGTGACAATATTGAGTACTCCTGAAGATCGTCCGTATTTGTAAGATTTTGCAAATTTTTTTACTAGTCTCAATCTCACAAAGTAGTAATAATTTTTTAATGTTTTTATAGTCGTTCGAACAACAACCTTCGTTTTGAGTATCCTACAATCGTTGAAGTACGACATAATCATAACCATCAGATTGGAATAGAAGGAAAAAAGTATAAAGATGTTAGTGATGACTGCAAGGAAAAGTTTTTGAATTTATTTAGAAATAATCTTGGACCAACCGAGGCTTTAGAATTTCACAAACAAGATCTGATGATTGAATATGGGGATGCCTATCATAAAGTTGTAGCTGATCGATCTATTTGTCCTGATAAGCGGTGGGTCTACCGCTTTTATTACGCATTTTCCAAAAATAAATTTGATGAAATTAAGTCGACTCAGGATGATGTAGATTTTGATTTGGTAGACGATTTGGTAACAAAATTGTCAGATCGTCTTAAAGAAGGTAGGTAATATTTGTAACTGTATTACAGAACTTGTTTTTATGCAGGGGTGGCCCACGAGTCCAAATTTTGTACACTACAATACCAAAATACATAGTATCAGTATTATTTTCAGTAAAACACCATTATTTCTAAGTGGTATGTGATACCTGGGGTAGTATCGGATAATACCAATCTAATATTGCGATTGAATTAATTTTGAGGAATTTTTTTGTAAATTCACGTCTTTTATGCGAAAAATTGTGTGTATTATTATATTTCAAAGTGTTCCTCGCTAGCCGTTACTTTTTCCCATCTTTTTAGCAGCATACGGATTCTGCGTCGAAAGAACAACTCATCTTTTGATGCCATGCACAAATTGATTCAATTTTTCGTGTCTTCTAAGATTGGAAACGCAAGAGATGGTATTCTCTGTATATGTGGCTTTGATACTGGGAGGTTATTTCAGTTTTACATGTTGTTTGTCAAATGCTGGAGTGACAATTTTAAAATGAGTTCTGTGTACGCTAGCAGATTCGAAGCTGTGTTTTTGTGCATGTCGACGACTTGCCAGAATGTGACATCCAATGAAAGTGAATGTTTGAGGTTGCTTCTGTGTAAAAGGAATTCACACTACAATTCATGGATGTTTCAAGAGGATAATGATCCCAAAATATCGGAGTCGCTTATGCACAGACTGGAAACGCGAAAATGGCATTGTTTCACCGGATTGGCCTTCTCAGTCTCCTGATGCCAATCCAGTTGAATTGGATGAATTTAAAACTCAGGGGAAAACTAAAGCAGCTGAGACTTGGAGGTGCCAAAAATCTGTCAAGGCGATTGAACAACATACTAAGCAAACACATTTTAGCTTAACGATTGTACTAAACGGTTGAAAAAGAATTTTTCATAAATTCTCTTTTTTGCAGATGTATCAGTCCGTAAGCACTTGTGGAACGGACTGTATATTTACATTTCAATAAAATTCTTGCAAATTGGTAAACAGAGAACATTTACACCATCTAGAAAATTTAAAAATTATTGACCGGATGCATTTATGGACAACTCACGATTTTATTAGGAGTTACCTCTTATTATTACTGCCACCACTTCTCACAGGATTTAGAATATATATTTTTTTATGTATGTTGCTCTTTTTCAATCTTTTTCTTATTAAAATGTCAATTATGTTTAAAAATATAATAGTGATGGCACTTAGTAGTAGTGAAAAGGTGCGTCCTCAACCTGGCAATTATGCCACAAGTGGGCCCTTTTTGCCTACCCACAGCCGTTCCATCACCTGTCTATTCTCTCCTCGAACCTACCGGATGCCCTAATGAATGCCAGAATTTTGGTCCATCTCACCTCAACCCCCTGCAGCTCTTCAGCACCAAAAACTTCTCCCAAAGGCTGCACAGTGTCCCAGAAGGTGGACAGGGGTGTCCTCCCCTACTCCACATTTCGGACATAGAGGGTCCTTCTCAATTCCTATTAAACTCAAATGCTTCCTAAGTCTGGAATGGCTTGTCAGAACCCCCACCATTTGGTTTAAAGCTCTTCGACTAAGGCTGAGCAGCCATCTCGTCTTAGATTTGTTAGGTCCATGTGTAAAACTATGGGCCTGCCTACATCCTCTATTTCTCCTCCAGTTCTGACCTAAAGTTTGATAAGCCCATTTATTAAAGCCCCCGTTAATGCTACCTCGTGTGATTCCTAAGATTGGTTCAGGTCCTTGGCCAGGTCCTCTAGATCTGAGACGAGCTAGTTGATCAGCCTTCTCGTTACCAGGGATACCCATGTGGCCTAAAACCCAAACCAACTTTACCTCTCTTCGTCTGACTAATGACTCCAGATAGAGTATCTCCACATTCCTGGACGAGGGCAAACCTTGTCCTCGGGCACTTAGTTAATATATGTAATACCAGAAACATAAGTAATAGCACCTCATATTACTGATACCAAATATATGAATAACATGTTCCAGTTAGTCATACACTATAATACCGTTATGAGCCACCCCTAATTTTTATGTTTTTTTAACATTCTTCAGGTATGGAAAAAAATCCTGAGGATTTCAGTAACGCAATCACTGTTATGTACACACAGTTAATGTCCATGAATACTGAATCTGCATTGGTATCGGCATTGTACCGTTTTGGAAAATTAAATGTACCGCAGAAACAATCTAGAATAACACCGGCGCAAGGAGCATGTATTACTAGAAAATATGATTTATCACAAGTTCCACAAAAAAGGCCTTGTAGTTCCACTTCTAATGAATCTGAATACTCGTTTCCAATAAAGAAAGAAGAAAATTTTGAAGGTAAATTCCAACCGTATCAGATTCCATTCGATTTAGAAGACTGTATTCTTCTTGAAGTTTTTTCAGAAGATTGATATGTATAACTTGTTATAATGGCACTTTTTCTTTTTAAGTTAAGTTAACTGAAAAATGTATTTGAATGTGATAATAATTTCTTTTATATTAGTAATGTAAGTGTGTTATCTATTAATAAACGGTAACAAATATTTTTTTTTTCAGTTAAAAATAAAAATAAAAAATAAAAATGAAAGAAACATTTATATGTACATTGGAAAGACTAATTTACATACTTAACTAATAAGATACCGAGTTCAAAGATCAAGGAACTTTATTCCAAGAATGATTATTTCTTAAAAAAGTGATGCTTTCTAAAAATTTTCTTAAATTATTCCCAATATTATATTTCTGAAACATCGAAAATTGAAAAACCTATTCGTCTCCGTCAATTGATTAGAAAAAAAATATTTTCTACATATAAATACAACCTCTTCCAAGATCTTATCAAAGTTAGTAAACTTAATTTCTTTCAATTTTTTTTTCATCATGAAAGTTCTTTATTATGAAACTAAAGGCCAACTTAAAAAAAACGTTGAAACACTAAAAATTTAGTGCTTTTAACCTATGCTGATTAAATTACTATGGTTTTTTCAGTTGTTATGCCATGGCCTATATATGTACCCAGTCGCCGCCAATTACAGACTTACCTTGCACTTAACCTAGGAATCCCCGACGTGTTCTACAAAGAGCGCCAGAAGAGACTGCCTTCCGGCGAGGGCCAGCCAGGGCAAGAGGAGGTCCCGCAAAGCGCCTACGCACCGGCCATGCTTGTGGTCGGGGTAGACGATGGCCCAGGCCTACAGAAATAAGGCAGGACGAAGAGGGATAGTTTCCCTCGGTCTCAAATTATCGAGGCCAGGCTTAATCCGAACAGCGCGACGTGCTTTTATGTTTCTCAAACTAGGCTCCGTGAGTCCGTGCCCGCCGTGGGCATAGATCCACTATCAGAACTCCTAGTCTGTCCTGATGTTAATTTCCTAAAATGGCTACAGACGGAATTGCTCATCGGACTCGCGCTAGCCAGACGAGCCGGCGAAGCAAGAAGAGCGCCAGAAGAAAGGGCCCTAGCCGGCGGGCCCAGCCAGGACAAAAGGAGGTCCCACAAAGCGCCTACACCGGTCGCATTTGCGGTCGGGGTAGACTACGGATGGGGCCCACCTACGAAGGCAAACATTGAGGCCAATTTCTAGCCATGGAATAATGGCGCGTCGCGCTCATCGGACAATAGTAGCCCTCAGAAACGTTCTCTGTATTTGTATTTCTAGTCATTCCAAACTTTCGTGATGACTCTGCAATAACCTCGCCACGACTGAAAGTACATATATAATAATGGTATAAATAATACATCTTCTTGTTCAAAGAATCTGTGATTAATGTCTTTGAACAAAATAAATAGATTGTTGGTTTTTTATAAACTAAGCCACAAAACATAATATATGCTACCTTGCAGATTTGTAAAGCTACGCTGTCATTGGTCGGTGTGATCAGTAAAAAAGAAAACAATTTATTCAGGTACGTCATGGCAAATTGAATGCAACTATAAAAATTTTCATAATTCTTATCTTATGTTGGCAACACTTTTTTACTTTCTGAAATGACTTGACTTTTGACATTTCAAATAAAAGTCAACAATTTACCTACACTACAACAAACAATTCACCTTATTTTAAAATGAAAATAATGGATAATTTTGTGTGCTAAATATCATGTAAACCTTAAATATTTTACCATCTGGATTTCAAGTGATATTATAGTTTAGTGTGTTAATATTTTATTCCGTCTTATAGTAATAAACAAAAACAGTTACCTAATAAGTATGTCTATCACAATACAACAAATAATTACAGATGCAAAACGGCTTGCTAGCCGTTTGAAAGAAAGGGATGTTGTAGCTGATGTTTTATTGAACGAAACCCATGCTATAAATAAAAAAATTGATGCTATGAAACAGGTATATATTGTGACATATTCCAATACATTAAAATTCCTTTTTTCAATAGTTTCAGGAAGAGGTTGAACAATTAAATGAAGTAGCAAACCAAAAACCACATTCCCAACTTATTGCAAATATTCAAAAGGAAAATCGACATTTACGAGAAATCCAGCAAGAGAACAGAGAACTTCGAGCTGCGCTCGAAGATTACCAAACTACATTAGAACATATTATGAGCAAATATAGGCAGCACACAAGCGAACAAATATATAGATCTAAAATTAACTTTAAAGCTTTTCAAGATAAAAAATATAGCGAAATTATTCAGACTCAAGCAGAGAAAATCCAAGAAATGGCAGCAGTTATGGATAAAGCTGCATTAATAGATGAAGATAAGATCCTCAGGGAGCAGGAAATTGTGTCAATGCTGAAGGTGGAAAATCAGGTAATCCATTGCTATTCAATTCATATTTTAGTATAAGTCCTTTAGTATAATTCCTTAGAATTCCAATATAACCAATAAATTTATTACAGTGGGATTGATAGTGGCATACAATTTTAGTGTTGTTTTAGGGTTTAAGGCAAATGCTGGAAATATCTCGTAAACATGGGAGCTTGAAAACAGAAGACAAAACCGTACAAACAGAAAGTACCTCATAAATTCTTGTCCGTTACTAACTATAATTTTAATTGTAAATGTTATAATTAGTTGTTCTTTTAATTTATTTGTTTTTAATTACTTGCACTGTTATATAAAATGTAATTTTGCGAATGTAACATGAATATTACTCATATGATTTGTTCAATTAACACCATTTTTATTTATTTATTTTCTATCAGTTTTCCAATAAATATTTTATGCCACGTGTTTGTTATCTTTGAAAATTGATTTGCTCAAAAGCGAAAATGTTGACAAAATTAGTTTATATAGGAGTAAAATATCCCACGTGCTTTCATATCATAATAACCTTGTATACTTCCTTAAATCCCGATATATCAATGAGTTATTTGCTGTTTTAGTCTTAAAATTTACGTACAAATTTTAATTATAAAAGTTACACTATTATCAGTTAGGAAAACAGTTTTATTTGCGATGGCTTTATGTGAAATATAGAACTAAAATAATGAAAAATTACATATCTGATCGTTCGTTTCAAATAAAAATTTATAATAGTTTTGGTTTGTATATATATAAAACGAAATGATTTTAGAAAACCATACCCTGTTTATTATTTTTTTATTGAAAATAATAAATATATTACATTCTTGATGTTGTGTATTCAGATGGAAACTGGAACGAATGGCTTCCACTAGCAAAAATATTTGGTAAAAGTCCAGCATTAGGAATTATATTCCAGGACAATGTTAATGTTATATTTTTGTTTCCCCTGAAACAAAAATTGTATCAAATAAGTCAGGACACAATAAATTCGAACATTTCAAAACTAATGAACAAAATATGAAAAAAATGTTTTTATAACTTGCTTACTTTAAGCCATTTCCATCATCCCAAAAGTAATATTTTGTATTCATATTTTTGAAGTCCAACAGTGCATTTTCTCCTCTTAAAATAATCTTATCCCACAGAACGACCTGAAAAATATAACCACCCGTTAATATACTTACTATTTGAAATTGATAATATATTTTCTATAATTAACAAACACGCGACACATGAACTTACCTGATTTAATTCATTGTTAACTGTCTCGTACTCTGCTGTTAAATATAAAAATAGCTGTTTAACATTCCAGTTAAATAAAGGAGTCAAATCTGTTTGTAAATCAAACGTAAGGAAACCTAGATCATTTTTCTCTCGACTTGCACTATAATCTGGGACATTTTTTCTGCAACAAAAATATATTAAAATGCTTACTAAAATGCAGAGTGGACACGACTTACACTACGACTTTAACTGTATTCATTTTTGCATCTGTAACATAGTTTAAAAAAACTGTTGAAGCAAAACAAACAAAAGTTAAACAAGCCAAAACACTGAGAGCATAAGCTAAAATAGAGTTGCCCCTTTGTATTACAGAATGCATTTTGGAGTCTCAGAACTAAATTCCTCCTACTAAAAGTAAAATAGGTTATTTACATCGACATGGTACCACGTCAAATCAATAAGAACAGCTGTCAAATGTCAAATGTCCAAAATAAGAGTTTTTGCGATTTAGCTTTGTAACCGAATGAAAATATGGTTTGAAAGAGTTTTTAAAAAGAGGCACAGGCCATAATATTAATTAGTATAGTTACCTCGTAGCCACATTATTTAGATTAAGAATAAGAATGTTAGTAAAACATTCATTAATGAAATTTTATCAAAAACTTGATATTTTATAACATGTTACAGGGACTGTCAGCGATGACTCGCGCCATTATTCCATGGCTAGAAATTGGCCTCAATGATTTTGGATCGAGGGGGATTATACCTCTTTATCCTGCCTCATCTCGTGTAGGCCTGGACAGCCTTCGTAGGTGGGCCCCATCCGTCGTCTACCCCGACCGCAAATGCGGCCGGTGTAGGCGCTTTTTGTCCTGGCTGGACCCCGCCGGCTAGGGCCTTTTCTTCTGGCGCTATTCTTGCTTCGCCGGCTCGTCTGTGTAAACCCCCGGGGGTGGTGTCATGTTTATGGTTGGGTAGGGTAGTGCGGCTATGCAGCCTGGGATGCGCTTTGCTAAGGTACATGTAATCAATAACTTTGCAAACAGTATTAATCAGGTTTATTTAAAAAGTCATACAAAACTATGTTTTACAGAATAGCACCATTGGTCTAAAATTTGAAATCTTATTAAGTATATCTTTTAATCAAAGTAATTTCTGTAATATTTCCTAATTCCTGACTCTTGCTTGCTCGAAACATATAGCACAGTTTCATCAAATGGTTTTTCACAAATGAAAAAAGATCGACAGTTACAATTTCTATTGTTCCAATAAATTAAACCAGTTCTGGTTCTAATTGCTAGGATGCAATGATCGTTTTGATTATTGGGGTGGCCAGGGCTCCAGTTCGTATATTGGACAGGTTTGGCTGTAGACATCCATATCCAAGTTTTTCCATCGAACATTCTGGTAGCTGAGGTCCAAAAGTCGCCAGTGATACCTAAAACAGTTCATGACGTACATAATGACTGGTAGGTTCCAAATACTGGAAATACTCGGTTATTGATTAGTTATTTTTTCTCCGAAAGAGAAAATCACTGATTCTAATAATCAGGTTAATCGGATCACAGTCTCTGAAAACCCTTTATGTAACAACGAATTATGAATTATGAAATTATGAAACATTTATCCGGTAGAGTCGTGTTCCTTTATTGATCGTATTGATGCGATGTGTACCCCGGGGGCACCCTCCCCGATGACATAAAAAACTTAATACGTGACAGACGACGTGCGAAACGGCTTGCCACCCGCACCCGCCTCCCCCGACACAGACATGACTTAAACGTACTTAACAGACGGGTGAAGGCGGCTCTGGATGAACTGGCCCAGGATAACTGGGCTAGGCACCTGGAGTCGCTGGATCCACAAGACAACAGCCTCTGGAAAACGCAGAGGGCCCTGCGACAGACCGCTCGCCGTAAAATTCCTCCAATCCACGGTAGTGTGGGGGTGGTTTACACGAACCAGGAAAAGGCCGAGGCTTTCGCCGATAGCCTGGAACTGCAGTGTAGACTGCCTCAGCTGCCCGACGAAGACGAGGAATTCGAGATAGTGGCTGAGCGCGCGGCCCGACGCGTCGACAGAGAGCCAGACAATGACATAATCCCCCCCGCAACACCTGACGAACTAAGACTGACAATACGCAGACTTAAAAACAGAAAAGCCCCCGGACCCGACAATATACATAACACGACACTTAAACGACTACCACACAAGGGCCTCATGGCCCTACTAAACATAACAAACGCGACACTCAGACTAAGACACTTCCCTACCCGCTGGAAAACAGCAAACATAATCCTTATCCCAAAACCCAACAAAGATCACACCATCCCATCCAACTACCGGCCCATTAGCCTGCTCCCGGCTATGAGCAAAGTGGTAGAAAAAATTATCCTAACCCGTCTAAGAACCCACTCCCAAGAACTGCAAGTCATTCCAGACGAGCAGTTCGCCTTCCGACCCAATCACTCCACTGAACTCCAAATCCTTCGCCTTACCGAGCACATCACGGCGGCCTTCAACAGGGGACAGTACACTGGTGCTGTCTTCCTGGACGTCGCAAAGGCCTTCGATACGGTTTGGCATGAAGGCCTACTGATGAAAATGCTCACCAACCAATATCCCATATCCTTTACCAAACTCATAAAATCCTACCTACACCACCGAAAATTCCGCATCCAAATCCAAGATTCCCTTTCCACCACCCGTCCCATGGAGGCCGGTGTCCCCCAGGGCACCGTCCTGTCCC